TTAAAGCCAGCAGTTCAAATCTCACACTGGAGTAATTCTCTATGTTCCTCTGATTCAATTTGAGACTCTAATTTGGCGAAACAATAACACTCTTGGTTTGCCCTTGAAACCGTGACAGCATTGCTCCTAGGCCAAGGAAACTGGTGTTCGTTTCCAGGATGGAAGGGAATTGGAAACCTGGGTATCCAAGGACAGATGATCAGACAAGCTTCTGCCTGAAGGTACAATAGGAGACTTCACGTGCTGGAGTCCAGCTCCTTGAGGTGCCGGGTGAAATATCATGCCTTGTACATCCTTTCCCAACCACTCCTGAATCAATCTCTCATTTTCTCGGCACATTTTGGAGTGGGATGGCCAGCTGTACATAGGTTTGCACAGACCTCAGTAGTAACCAGGTAGAGAAAAGGATCCAGACAGTTCTCTCCCCATTTTTGTGGAGTTACTCCACAATGGCTTGGAATTTTTCATTGTCGGGGGCAATTTCTTCTTTGTTATTGAACTTTCCCAAGTATTATACTTTTGTCAGGAAAAGTTGACACATCTCTGCTCTGACTTCCAAGTTGAACCATCGTCACAAAATACTTGGTGGGCCAATGTTGGAGGTAAGCACCCTTTCCTGGCTAATACACTCAAAGTCCATCTTGTTCTCCTTTTCGTCGTGGGATGCGTTCGGAAATAAGGTCGTAAATACACAGACAGTGCAGAAAGAAACCTTCAGGTTCATCCCATGCCCCAGAGAAAATCACAGAATCGCAGATGTTATAGAAATGATTTGGATGTGAATATACTAGAATATAGGAGGTATGGTTAGTAAATTTGCAGATGACCCCAAAACTGGAGGTGTAGTGGACAGCCAAGAAGGTTACCTCGCAGCACAACAGGGCTTGATCAGATGGGCTGATGAGCCATGGAGTGGCAGATGGAGTTTAATCTAGATAAAGGTGAGGTGCTACATTTTGGTAGGACAAATCAGGGCAGGACTTATACACTTAATGGTAAGATCCTGGGGAAGTTACCGAACAAAGAGAGCAGGTTCATAGTTCCTTAAAAGTGGAGTCACAGGTAGAAAGGATGGCGAAGAAGGTATTTGGTACGCTTCCCTTTATTGGTCAGTGCATTGTGTATAGGAGTTGGGAGGTCATGTTGCAACTGTACAGAACATTGGTGAGGCCACTTTTGGAATACTGCATTTAATCCTGGTCTCCCTGCTACAGGAAAGATGTTGTGCAACTTGAAAGGGTTCAGAAAAGATTTACAAGGATGTTGCCAGGGTTGGAGGGTTTGAGCTTTAGGGAGAGGCCGAATAGGCTGGGGCTATCTTCTCTGGAGCATCAGAGGCTAAGGGGTGACCTTAAAGAAGTTTATAAAATCATGAGGGACAATGGATAGGGTGAATAGCCAAGGTCTTTTCCCCAGGATGGTGGAGTCCAAAACTAAAGGGCATAGGTTTAAGGTGGGAGGAGAAAGATTTATAAGAGATCTGAGGGGCAACATCTTCACACAGAGGGTGGTGCGTGTATGGAATGAACTGCCAGAGAAAGTGATGGAGGCTGGTACAATTACACCATTTAAAAGGCATCTGGATGGGTATATGGTTAGGAAGGGTTTAGAGGAATATGGACCAAAGGCTGGCAAATGGTACTAAATTAACTTACAATATCTGGTTGGCATGGATGGGTTGAGTCAAAGGATCTGTTTCAATGCTACACATCTCTATGACTCTATAAGTGTTACAGTGCAGAAGAAGCTATTCAGCTCATTATGTCTACACTAGCTCTCCATAGATTCCCCACCGTGTGGAAGCAGGCCATCGAGTCCACACTGACTCTCCAAAGAGCATCCCACCCAGGCCCCACTCCCACCCTATTCCTGTTACAATGCATTTGCCATGGCCAATCTACCCAACCTACACATCTTTGGACTGTAGAACGAAACAGAACATCCAGAGGAAACGCACACGGAAAAGGGGAGAACATGCAAACTCCACACAGTCACCCGAGGCTGGAATCAAACCCAGGTCCGTAGCACTGTGAGGCAGCAGAGTTAATCACTGAGCCACCGTGCCACCCATGCTTGTCCACATGATCATTTTGTCTTAATACCATTGTCCTGCATTTTTACCAGTAATCTTGCACATTGACTCTATTCAAATAATCATTTAATGCCACCCTGAATGTTTCAATCAAGGCAACCAAGTCAGACTAGAGATTCACAGGCTCAAAATGGGGTATGGAGGAGTACAAATGATAACAACTTACTTATAAAGAGCTTTTTTATTTTTTGACTGTACCCAATCAGCCCATACCTGTGAAACCCACAATGCAGACTCCAATATTACATGTTATTCTGCAATTGGACATTTGCTGAATAATCTCAAGTGTGCAAAGGGTTGCATGGCAACCAATTTAGGATAATCAGTTGGGCTCATGGTTTGGTTTATTTGCATGTACGGGCACTACATATACACAGGTCGCATTGTTTGCAAACAGCAAGGACGTGTCAGCACCGCACCAGTTTCAACTCAACAAAATAGCTAATAGTCATTCACTGATTCATTTCTTGGGAAAATGCCCTGACCAATTAAAGTCAACCTGCCTGATTTAAAATTTAAATAAAGTCTGACAGTTAGCTGTCAATCCTTAATAATAGTGCTTTCTCCATGGCAATGAATTTTCTATTCAGAGACTGCTTGCCAACCAATCAACAGTCTCCTCTGACTCAGTGTAAATGTTGTTTTAGCTCTTAAAATGTATTCTTGAACATTGTCCTGATGAGTGTAAGATGAGTGACTTGAATAAGATGAGACTTTTTGTAGCAATACACAAGTCATTTGTCTTAAGGGCTTCACAGTATCACTAGGTTGCCTAGGTTGCATGATCATGACAACAAACCTCATAAGGAATGTCTGAGAGCTTGATGAAAGAGGTTGATTTTAAGAAGCATCTTAAAAGAGAAAGGTAAAGAGATGGAAAGCTCAGGCAGGGAATTCCAGAGCAAATTCCACCAGCTACCATGTTGGGAATTAAACCTGCATCTCAACAGGCTCAGGCTGGACAGTTGGATTATTACATGATTCCCAGCTAGGACACCATCTCTCCCTTAAACAGAAGGGAGTAAACAGCATAGAAAAGAAAACAATACTATTCAAGTTAAACCATGGTAAGAGATTTGAGGCACATGATGCAACTGGCAAAGAGGCAAATTTAAGCCCAATTAAAGGAACTTATTCTTCACACAATTATCCTGTTGTTATGGCCCTCTTGCCTTTGAGTTAACAGTTGTGGACTGAAGCTACAATTCAATCTTAAAGTACATAATCCAAGTTTGGGCCACAATGTGGTACTGATGATGATAGAAGTTTTGATTACATGTTCAACTGAAGCCTTGCCTACCTGTTAAAGTCCAGAGGAAGATTCCATGACACTATTCAAAATAAAAAGCAGAGTGTACCAGACTCCTGGCCAACATTTAGCCCTCAACACTTAAATTAGTAATTGAGAAACAAAAATGCTGGAAGTCTTATCAGGTCAGGTGACATCAAAGGTGAGAGATAGAGTTAACATTTCTGACCAATAAGCTATCATCAGAATTGGGAAAAGTTAATTGGCTTCAGAAATTGTTGTTTTGTGCGTAAGGTTAGTGTAGCCCATCAAATCTGTACTTTGTGGAGGGTGTTGGATCGGACAGATGAGTCATTTCCAAACTGTTTGACGGAAATGTTAGATTTGTAGATAGTCTCATATATTACATGTTCCCCTGGAGCATTTCCCTGGAGCACTCCCCTGGTTTCAAATCCACCACTGGCATGGAGATGATGGGCTGGAAGATCTCCTTTTGTGTTGTATTCATTCTTTGATTCTACGATTTTTCACTCAGTTTTCAAGACTCAATTGTGAACCAACTGCAATGTAAACATAGTGGGTGGTTTTTGTACCTATTTTCTTTTCGTAGCTAGAAATTGTTTTGCATTATATCAGTTTGGGTGTGTGTTGAGATGCAGGCATGAAGGTGCAAACTTGGTTCTGTCTCCTCATTTATCTAACTATAGTATTGGTGTGAATGCAGCCCATGCAATTGGCTACTTGAGCACTCGACAAGAGCCTGACTAACATTTAGATCTGCATTTCATACCAATGGGTTAAAACTGACCTTGTGCAGTCTTGTGAAGCAACAAAACTGAATCAGTGGCTCACTTTCGTCTCTCCCTTTTTTAAAGTTAAATAAAGCGGCAATAAGTTGGGAGAGATGCAAAATGTGTTCCTAACACACCATTCAGTTTTACACTAGGAATACAATCAATCTTACCATCAAATCCCTCTCTCATTCCACCTGAAATTCCATCATAAGGAGCAGAGGATTTAGAATAGAACTTGAATAGAATATGCCGATGCAAAAACTCACCTTAATAGCATTGTCGCAAACTGTTTAATTATATTCAAATACTATTTAGTTATATTCACATTGGTATAATTTTACATATATAGGAATGCTTAACACTGTTTTAAACTAATAACAATTATAAGTCTCTATTGTACTTTTTGCTTACAAAACAAATTGAAGTTAAACGTATAATCATTAGCTGTAATAAGAACTAGGGATGCCTTCAGTTTTTGAGTTTGAACTTAGCGTACAGTTTACTGTATATGTTAACTATACAACTTACTGCCGCGGTATGATTTATTGTTCAAAATTGTTTTATTTTAACCGAGACAATTACTCGGAAAGCTGGAAGGGCTTGCCAAAATTTTAAGAATATGCAAACTCCCATAAAAGAACTTGTCAATGCATTTCTCAGCAGGAGACTGGGATTTTATCTTCAGAATCAAAATACTAAAGTAAATGTCTTCTCATGTAGACCTTTTCAATCCTTCCCCTTTCTTATCTATCAGCTACAAGCTAAACTACCTTAGCACAAGCAGAAAGCCTCCCTTCCTCCTCCTTCTTCTCCCCTTCCCCCTCCTGTGCCAGATGAATTTTGTATGTATTCTAAGGCTCCGAATGCAGTACTGACTTGAACAAGGACACAGAAGGAGCTTAGTACTGGCTGTGCCCTCAGAGACTGCAGGAGTCAATAATAGCTAGAGCTTGTTAGGATGCAAGACTGGCATACGGACTGCTTCCCCAGTGAGACTTGAGTAGAGACAGAGCAAGCAATCTGGCTTCACAAAATCTGATGTACCAAGAGATACCCGACAGTTTTATTCAAAGCATTCCTGCTCCAGTGCCGACCACCAACTGTAAGAAAAGCCATTTTAGAGCTTCAATTACCTTGTTTGCAAGTGCCAGAAAGGTAAGGGTTATGCATTAATTGCTGCCTTGCAGTCTATCAGTGTGAATTCAAATGCGATATTACTGTAGGAGATTGTCCTTTACTAAGATAATCCTTTATTAATGCAACATAAAGTATAACAACAAACCTTTGACAGATTCCAATTCTCTTGTTACACCTTGCTTGGTAAGAACAATATCGATTTATTTTTCGATCTAACATGGATGAATGTTGGAATGCTGACTTTGCTTATTTCTCTTCTTGGATTTGTTAATGTAAATATAAACCTTAAAAGCAAACTAGCTTGATGCTTGTCGGCATAGTGGATAATGGATCCTAATTAAATAGCTTTCTTTAAGTAATCAAAATAAATATTGTGTATCTCTATATATATTTTTAAAGAATCTTTTGGATTCACTTTACCTCATTCAGTACAATGGCAAAAATGCACTGAAACAGATAACCCCTACTTATTGGCCTTCTGAGAAAATAATGCAATACTGCAATATTGAAGTCAGATTACTACAATCTAAATATCCAGACAGGCATCACTCATCTGTTAACTAGAAATGAACAGCTGGACTGAATTGTGTAATGCTTCCCTACTGTTCTCTGAATGAGCAACAAACAAACTTAGTGTCAGCGTACTGTTTATCAAGACTCAATGAGACTCCCACTCAGAGATGTGTTGTCCAGGTTTGTATCAAATGTGCTTAAAATTTTGAAAAGTGGGCTTGTTTCAGGCAGTGACCAGAACCGATTCTCATTTTTATTAAGCATGCGTACACTACAGACAACGAGCTCCAGCCAAACTTCAGATCCCAGTTACACTTACCCTGTCCACCAGAGACAAATACATATGGATTTCTAGAAAGTAAAGAACTTGAATATATACAATATTTCCTGCAAGCAACTCCTTTTCAACTCTATGCACTGTTCTAACATAGGAAAAATGAAAGTCAATTTGTGAACAGCAGGGTTCTTGAGGTGACAATGCAGCAAATTTCTAGGTAATATTTTTTATTATTGAAATAACATTGACTGGGTAAAATGTATTTACATTACTATGGGGAGGATATCCTACTCTTCTTTAGATATTGGGTCTGTTACATCCAGGAGATGGAGGGAAACGGCCTTGGATTAACTTCTCTTCAAAGAGGCTTTCTCAATATTGCACTGGGGTGTTAGTTTGTATGATGCGTTTTAATTGTCTACAATGAGGCCTGAACTCATGACTTCCCTGACTCACAGGTTCAAACACTGCCAACTGAGCCAAAGCTGACATTCAGAAGGTGAAGGTGTGTAGAACTGAATAAAATACAGGTGCACATCAAAAGTGAAGCACACCTTCACCTAGGATGGCATTTAATCCTCCAGTTGCCAGACCACATCCAACAACAGTTCAGACATTTGTTAACTTCTACATAAATTCCACTGAAGTGCAGAAAGGGCAGAGCTTTGTTTTATGAAGAGTAAATGAACGGTCTTTGGCGACATAATCCTTGCTTTGGTAATGACCAAAGCCATTGGTATTTAATAATAGCACTGCATGGGAAAAATGAGAAAATTCCAACACAGTTACAAACTGTTATTTTTAACCCCCTGCCCCCTACACCAAAAAAAGTTGACAAAGTGAAATTGCTTCACAGCTAAAGCATTGCCACAACACGAGGCAAGATTATGAGGCAGTGATTTGGCAGACCAGCCGCTCTGGAATAAATTCCACCATTATAGATTTAGGGCTTTTAACGTTCTCAACTCTGACTTTCTCAAAAGGAAAACAACTTTTTTTAATTGCAAAAATATACTTTATTCATAGAAGGAAATCTTAATGTACAAACAGCATTAATGAAGTCATTCTGATCCATTGTGTCTTTACTTACAGAGAATAAAATAAACATTGGTACTCACCTTTCTCTATATTTAGAATTAACCTCTTGGCACTTACCTGATGCATCAGCAGGGTCTGGTTACTGAATGGACCCCCTGTCACCCTTTGGCAGAAGGACCTTATACAGTGGGTCTTTCCCCACTGTGCCTTGACATCAGCTGCCCCAAGCTTTATTGTGTCCCTCAGCACATAGTCTGGACCTTGGAATGTACCAGTCTGCAACACTCAGTCAGGGTCAACTCTTTTGACTGGAAGACCAGCAAGTTTTGGGCAGACCAAAAAGTGTCTTTCACCACATTGATGGTCCTCCAGGCACAGCTGATGTTTGTCTTGGTGTGCATCCCAGAGAATTGACCTTAGAGCACAGGGTCCAGCATCACTGAGCTGCTTGGGACAAATCACGACAAAAACCATTGCACTTCTCGCCAGACTTCCTTTGCATAGGCACATTCCAGAAGGAGGTGTGTGACAGTTTTACCCCCTCCGCAGCCACTTCGAGGGCAGCGCACGGTAGCACAGAGAGTCCAGGCATGCACAAAGCATCCCACAGGCAACGCTCTTCTCACCACCAGCCAAGCAATGTCCTGCACTATTATAGCTTTAGGGCTTTTAACATTCTCAGCTCTGGCTTTCTCGAAAGGAAAACAAATGGCTGAGTTTCCGAGTGATGGAGCATATCATCATTGAGACATCTGCAGAGCATTCCATTCCATAGGATTTACAAGACCTTTTTAACCCAACTCTGATTGCATTCATTGCATTTGGTCCACTGCCTGCACAATGTACTAATTCAAAGCAAAAAGGGATGATTTGATTGTGATCAGAGGCCTTCACACAGATCATTTCTGCTACTCTTTCAAGCTGTCTTACTTCTAGCAGAGGTCACTTGCATCCTTCACATGTTTCTCTCCAATGCTTGTCTTTGCTGGCAAGGTTTTCAAACGTGTTAATCTATTAATGCTTTATGCTGAAGCATGACATGGTCAAATGAATTTACTCTAGAACTTTCAACTTGATTTCCCTTTTAACTGCCTCCTCTCCCATCAAAGACCATGCTTTATTCATGATAATTTGCAAAGCCTCGATTGCTGCCTTTCACCAGTGAACTTGGTCTTTGAAACGTACACAACAGTAGCCAACAGGCTCTCTGTGTTTTGCTGTCTTGTATGTGGGAGGTATCCAGTCTCTGCTGTATGCCTCAGCTGGAAGCTGTGACAGGTAGTCACTAATCCTGAATGTCCACTGCATTGCCCAAGGGTGTACTTCATGAGGTGCAAAGCAACGTAGGTCCTCTAGAGTATGTAATACAGGAGATAACAGCATGGTTAAACCTGGACCTTTTGACATGGTGCTTAAGCAAATACATTCTCCATTTCATAAGATTGCATGAAGCCATTATATTGTTCGTTGTTAACATTAAATTTAGCTACTAATGACATCTGCACTGGCTCAGTCACTATCATCAGATGGATAACAGCCATATGTACAAAGCTCTCCTTTAAGGTCAACTGGCTACAGGATCACAGCCTGCTAAGCATCTATACCTTTGCTTCATGGACCATTGCAAGTGAGATATGAAAATACCTTACATTTCACTGACAGCAGGGAGATAGTTGTTGAAGGCTATGGCCTTTGAGGACCAACTATGTAGAAGGGTAATGGAAAAGGAGAGCAGAAACGAAAAGCCCAGCTGATTAAAAAAAGGACCCAGGCAGTGAAATCACAGGCCAGCAGATCACTATCTTCCTACTATCTTCCTCGGCATTGCAGAAATGCCAGAGATGGGCTCCTGAATTACACCAGGTGATGTTCAACACAGAAGTGACGATCATGGGACAAACCATCATCTTACAAGATGGAAACTTACTTTTTGCTTAGATGTGGAGGTGGAGGTGCCGGTGTTGGACTGAAGTAGATAAAATCAGAAGTCACATGACATCTGGTTATAATCTAACAGATTTGTTTGAAATCACAAGCTTTTGGAACGCTTTTCCTTCATTAGGTGAAGTGTTTTTGCTTAGTTAGTTGTTTTGTTGATGGCAAAACTGTCTTACCTGCAAACTAGTTCCCCTCTGGCCTCTAAAGTAGCTCAGCATGACCCTATCCAGCTCCAAAGCATTAATGAAACAGCTTGTGATTATCCCAAGCTTTAAATAAATATCAACTCATCTTGGGACTAAGTACATCACTGGCTCTTTCACTGTTGATGGTCGTCACCCCATCTGAGTGTAGTCACCAAGCATTGTGTACTTGAGTTACATGCATGATTGCATATATCTGAAATTGTTTTGTCCAATATCTTAAATAAGCCAGCCAAATGTCTTAAATGTAAATGCAAGCAGAGGAATTTCAGACAAACAAGTTAGCAAGTGCATTGTTTATATTGCACAATGAGATTTCAAATCAATTTTGTTTGTCAATACAAAAAGGTTAAATGATCCCAATAGTTATCAACTGTACAGCCAATCATGTTAAAACTTGTGGAACAAGAAATGATACAGTCAATGTAACTTCATAAATCTTAAGCATTTGCCTCATTTGCAAGGTGATCTATTCAAATCCTCGTGAGCTTCTCACATCTTTAACTTGCTGAACTTAATGTGCTTCTTCCTGAAAAGATATTGACGCACTATGAATTCATGAACAAATGAACTCATCTTTGTAATATAATGTGATATCTCACGATGTAGCGTCCTCATGTAAGTGTAACTCATTCCACACTTCATTGATGAGCTGCTGAACACCATCAAACGGTAACAACTTTCTTAACAAATCTCTTCGTACAGAATAAAAAGTGCCATACCTGTCAGATAAGCTGTGATTGAATCACATGGCGATTAAGAGACAAAATTAGATGGCTAATTTGTGACTTGTCCAAAAGTAGAAGCATTTCTCTACATCCAGCCTAAGAATTCTTTCATTATCTTAAAGTTAATCCATCAGGCTGCTCTCAGCCTTCTCATTTCCAGAAGAGAGAGACCTCAGTTGTTCTGCCTTTCCTGACAAATGTGTCCTCTTGCTTTTGATATAATTCTTGGAAATTAATTGCACAGTCTCTGGATTTCTATAAGGTAGAATGCACCATACTAGAAATATGTACCTCCCTCTTCTGGATGCACTAGCTTCCATT